TCATTGTGCAAACTCTGAATATGGAGAGGCTGACAAATAGGCAGTATATATGTATGTATGAAATACTATGTTCCACTGCTGGGTGCACGTGGGCAGTCGATCACGAGAGTCAAACTGGCAATACACCGTATGCTGGGTGGACACGCTAAACATTTCGAAAAAAAATAAACTAAAAACAATTTAGTGCCCACACACATTCTCGAAATGAATGAAGCAAGTCGGCGATGTGCATAGCTTTGCGATGGTAGACCTTGCGTTGACTCACTTCTGCGTCATTCGATCTTGTTAGGAGGGATTACTCCCAGGAATAGTCGCTATTGTAATCCTGCTAGTTATTGCGGAAATCCTTTAAACAGCAAATAGACGCGACGGCAAACGTATAATTGGTCGATACTTGTTGAATTGAACAAAATAATACAAACAAATATATGAGACATAAAATATATTTTTTGACTATGATAGATACAACTATGGTTGACCAATATTGTATCAACGTCATTCGTTCTTATATGACTGACCCACAAATATTACCATTCACCAATTCGGCGTTCTTTTCACTTATTTGCTGCATTACATTAGATACGCATATATATATATATATATATACCTAAAGGTGAGATCTGCAAAGAATATTATCCGTAAATCTGGTTCATATGCTAATTATGTCCAATACAATGCGACTTGATCAGATGACCATAAAAGTATGCTTTAATGACGAGGCCCACACAACGTAAGAAGCATCGGTTCTTGCCCGAGTAATTGATCCAAACTGTATAGTATGTGTCACTCCATAGAAAAGTTAACACTAATACTAATAAGTGAATAGGAATGCATTTTTTCTAGTGGCTTCACGTTTCACAAATTTCTTGCTCACACCTTCCATGACCTTCATATTTGCATGTCCATTTCCGCTTGATGACCGTGAAAGTCAACGGTGATTATACACTTGTACATAATTTGTATTGCAGTACAATTACTGAATTCCCGTGTTGATTCTAGAGAAGTTATCTTCAGTAGAAGCATTACCTGCAGTCAGTTAGTAATCAGTATGTTTGTTACAAATTGATCATTATCTTGAGCAAGGTCGGATGAAACACGACTTCATTATTTATTTACATGGTATTAGATAATAAAGTGAGCAGGCGGTTCAAATCAAAGGAATTTAATCACATGACAATCTGTTATAGTTGACCGCTTAACAATTAAGGCAGTGTATCAGTTGGGTGCCGATTGGTTAGGAGACTATGACGTCAGCAGACGAATCAGGGGGGCAATGGAAATCTACAAGATGTAGAAACATACATCATATATTTCAATGCATATGGGCACTTGATGGTAGGCACCCGTGTAGTACGCCAGACGTGGGAGTCACTTGACGAACATTGCCATATACTTCAAGTTAATCACGGATGACGTCACAGGATGTGTCAAATAATACGTCTGACGTCATTTGTCAATTCTCCTCTCATTATCAAGAATTTGACATCATGTGGGACAGTTGAAGAACGATATGATAAACTTCTCAGAGTCGGACTATAATGACGATGATACAAATATATGCGTTTCCTGCTTAACAGTCGGGTTCATCCTATTAATATAATTCGTAATGACCATGTGTCAATAACAAAATCTCAATGTACAGCATTTCATTAATTTTATTATGTTTAATCTTTGGACAATAATTCGACAACATTTTGCAATTTTACAAAGTCAATCATCGTTAACAAGTAGAAAATCTCAGGTGGCCCACTGAAGTGTCGTCATTATTAACTAACGGGATCAATACTTGATTACGTAACATATAACAGAACGCTCATCGTAAAAGGTGGTGTCCACGTTTTATGTTCCGTGATCAATTTCTATCACAAAAATGCTGATTATTATTTTTATGTAGTTCCTAAATTTAATGAAAATTTGTTAACTTTGTTTTTTCGTGAATTTACTGATTTATTGTCTTTCATAATTGTTCTTACTATTTGTCAATTGTCTGTTGAAAAATACTTTTGAAAACATGGATTTCTAAGCTAGTAATGATTAGAAGTATTAAAATGCAATGGTCATTAGCAACATGATACAATCCACAAATAGAGTGGAATATCAGACGTATCGCTTTATGACGGTCGGGCTTTTTTGAAGGTTTTCTCAGCTGTCGAGCGGAACAACACACATCGTCTATGTTAGATAAACAGATAATTTGCATAATATTACAATTTAAAATATACGTCATTGTCACAAATTGAAAATTAGAATGAGACTAAACGATATAAATACATTAACGTTAAAAACATATTTTACTGTCGAGCGGAAAATGTACTGGAAAAACTACTAGAATATAATGTTTTTGTTTTTTTCTTTTTATTCTGGCGATTTTGAAAATAGTTGTTGAATTAACCATGCTACACTGAGAACATCTTTCGAAACTGGACTAGACAACGCTGTCCGCTCATGGATATGCCAGTCACGTAGGTTCAAATCCGGACCACTGTGACACGGTTGTGACATGTATAGTCAGACCCGAATAATTCGACTCGTGTAGATTTCAACAACGACGTTCCACTTACGTATATAGCTGTGAAGAACTGTGTCTGAAATATACATTGCATCTTTGCTTCATTCCATATACCCCAGTCCACGTGCGCCTCAATAAGACGATCCTCGTGACCTTTATTAATAATGCAAATGTATTAGAGACGACGTCAATGTTACAGAGGCATGATGTTTTCAGTTTAATCTTGAGACGATAATCGCATCCGTTCAATGTGTTTTTTCTTGCACAGTGATAAGTTTAGTAACGCTGGAGACTTGTATTGATTACGTCGAGTTGAGTTTAAGTTTTATATACGTCATGTTGCTATTTTAGCCATTTTGTTGGTGAACAAGCGATTCCGTGGCAAAGAAAAGTGGTAATATATTTGTTTTAAATTCGGTCGCCCTTCCTTGTGCATTGTAATTGACACATGGCTATTACAACAAATTGTGGATGTCGTGTATTTCATATACAGCAACATATATAATAAGAAAACTATTTCAGTCCCAATTTTATAAAAACGGTGAATAAAAATGTGCAAGTCTTTGTAGATTGTGATCCAAAATACTCACTGCAATATAACCAATAATGAAAACGTAGGTGTAAGGTGGTTTCCATCATATGGAGCACTAAAGTTGGGTTATTTCGTGATGGCGTCAATGGCAAATTCCTTATATGCATTTGCAAGTTTCCAACGTTATCTAGTTCCACAAAAGTTTTTTTATAACGACACGTGTGTTTAAATATCTGTAATGTACAAATAGGAGGCATATGACTGAATATCAGTAAGCTTATATCAAATTTGAAAACTACGCCTTACGTCACAGCAGGTTATAGGTCAGGGAATGTGAGGGGAGTTTCTGAGTGTAGGTCGGAATGACGGGCGTTTCTTCGTGTAGGTCGTAATGACGAAAACATATTCACGTTTTGGCTAGTGAATCATGCGCAAAATGACGGTAGTGTAGCGGTCTTTAAATGATTACCACCCCACGGCTTTTATTCGCATATAGTGGACCAGAATGTCTAATATTACAGGAAACACACACACGTACATGGACACATTAGTGGATCGACCATCTTCATATTTGACTTTCAAACAATTACCCTAGACTAATTGCACACATTTTTAAAGCAAGTAGTAAATAAGAGCGGGTTGGTGTCCAACTCGTACAATGACGTGATCCCCTAATCCGTATCAGATCAGGACCCCAACTGTGAGTATGAATCACGACGCAGAAACGTGCAATATAATTCTAAAACATCAAGGTGGGTATTCATGTATTAAAATTGTTTAATAACTGAATATAATCTACGAGAAATCCTCCACGAATTACTGGCCTTGCCATCAGGTATTCTCGGATGATCCAGACTCTGTGGCTCTTTCAGGTGATTACTCTTAATGTAGTGTAAGTCCATTAGCTAATTACAGTAAAACAGAGGGAAAAAACAATAAAATGTAGATATTCGACCACCCGCATAAGACTTCTAGCGTAAGGAGCTAAAGTAATACAATGTGGGTAGTGCCATAAATATGTGCATTATAAATAAAAACACGTACGATGCGCCTGACTCAGGCAGGTGCAAATGGCGATGTATTCCCTACTTTGGGAGTGGCATTACTATTCGTGGTGGACATCCAGAAAAAAAAACGATTGAAAAAAAAACTTCCAAACTGATCGGAGCTCACGATTTCCATACTTACACAACATAGTAGCGGAAATGTCACACAAGCCAGAATATGCAAACATTGAACGTTGCAAAATCCACATTGCATCAACATACATTTTACCCGTGACGTTTCCTCTACTTGTATACATATATCAAATCACAGAGTAATGTGCAGTACCCTAGAATCCTTCTGGATTCCGTACGGTACCTTTGTTGACAATTAACAGTTTTATTTACCTTATGGCAGTACGATTTATCAATATCACTAAAATGGGAATGGTGTGGACTGTGAAAAAATCGTAATGATAAATTTCCAAAAATGTTATAATGTGTAGACTAGAATCATTCGCATAGTTAAACACTTAACTCATTATTATTACTACTATTATTATTATTATTATTATTATTATTATTATTATTATTATTATTATTATTATTATTATTATTATTAATTATTATTAGCAATGACTGAAGTGAAAATAATAATTAAAATTTCGCATCGAATATACGTTGCTTATTACCGCCCCCCCCCCCGATGATTAGGCTAATTGATACGACATCAAAAGTTTTAAAGACAGAGAATGTCAATTTAATTTTATGTGAGCGAGCCCCCGCCTTTTTCATTTCTAGTCGCCGCTTACGGCAGCAAATATCGTGAGCCAATCGTATTGCAGAATCAGGCTATTATGCTTTTTAGGAATTAACAAAAGAGGCCAGGAAGTTTACGGCTTAACAGAAACAATTTCATTAAGCCCCTGTCTACTTAAAAGGCTGCAGCACCTGTGACTATTGTAGTTGTCTTATAGTCTGCCAATAGAGCGCACCGTGTTAGGGGTAGAGACAGAGATAACAGCGAAGGAAACGACAATTTTGTTTTCCTATCGGAGTAAAGAGACTGTTATTGGAAAGGGATATTGTTTTCACTAGCGCTAAGGACAAAGAATAATGGCAAAATTAGGTAAGTTTCGAGACTTCGTTCTCCACAAATCGTAGCAATTATTCGGACTTGTGAATTGTACATGAAACTTTCGCTTATTATGTATACTCACTTGTCGTGATTTATTTGAATATCGATCATACACTCTGCAACTCAATTAACTTCTTTTTAACCCAAATTGTTTGGTTTAATGATAGATATTCACCAAGTGCTTCTAATACTCGTCGTCCAAGTCATCATACTCCATACAACGACGGGATTTCTCTACAAAGACCAAGTCATAAGATTGGGAAAGAAATCTGCCGCAGCCCGCCATTATGCGCCAAAGAACCAATTTAGTTTCTTCGACACAGACGGCAATGGTAGAATATCCTTGGAAGAATTCCAACGTATACCCCAGTTTAGATTCTCGACATTAAGCGATTCTTACAAAAGAGCAGATTTGGACGGTAAGTTATGCAAGATTTATATTTCAATTCTTTCGACAGTTAGCATTTAGCATTGGGCAAATGACATTTGAACTATTTCTTAACGTACTGTAAAAAGTGCACATAGTTAAACTCAGCAATATTAATAAGTAATAATCAATGCAGATTGTCTACGCGTCATATTTAAATAACGTCATATCCATTCACCACTGCTGATTGGAGATGCAATACAACCGATGTGTACATCTTACAAATTATAGTTCTGCATTTGTTGTAACAGTGTATAAATATATTCCGAAAATATGAACGGCTTTTTTATAACTTCAATCCTGTCTAATAACCGTACTTAGTCAGCGATTGTTTCCTACATATGGACTCATTCATGTAGATGTCAATATATGAAAAATAAGAATCATATGGCAGGCAATTTAAAAATAACAATGAATTCGGGAATGCGTGGTTTTTGCTTTAAATGATTATAAAAAATTAAAATTGTAATTGTCCAACATCTACCGGATACATGGAGTCCCCCCCCCCCCCCGAATTACACGCCCGAATTACACGCCTGGTTGCGTTCTGCAAGTGTAGTATCAATCACAATGAAACCTATTTTCACAACTGACGACGCGATTGTACATACCATATGCTAAGTATAGTGATCGGCGCAGATTATGTCATAATCATGTCATAATGGGAAATGTATCGTTAGAAAAACGTGTCAACCGTAATTATTGTTTACATAACAGGTAAACGATTTACCGATTTTTTTTAGGCTTATATGCCTAAATATTTGTGCACATTTCTCCCACCGCAGCGATCACGTATGTGTATAATTTGTAGTTGATTTAATTTTCGTTCAGCATTTTATAAAATAAAACACAATATAAATATATTCGTGATATACTATCATTATGTCGTTATTCTCGAAACAATCTGAATAGCAAATATTCACTAAATCGGTAACATTCCGAAAATGTGTGCGAAGTTTTGTTTAACTATAAGAAAATAAATGATAGGAATAGTACTTATCTACTATGTAAGAATAGATGTCCACATTTATGAATAACTTAAATAATGACGTGTACGTTATTCCTAAATGTAGAGGTGGTGTAATAAAATGGGTTTATTATGAATGTATCAACTCTGTTGATAACAAGAAAACGCAAACTTATATACATATATATATATATATACGCATCTTGAAAACACATAAAATTTCAATGATAAGTTGTTTGAAGTTTTGCTACTGCTCGCTTTCAAGAGTAGTATGCTGATTTCCGGGAAAGTCTCCATTTCACTTTTGAGGCATCCAGAATGTCTCGTTGCACATTGATTGTCTTGTATACAACTCGATTTTGCACGAATGAACTCGAAGAGTGGAAACTTGTAATAAACCATGTCTGGCGCTGATGTCTTGTTTGTGTATATGATATGTACATGCAGATAATTTACGGATATTTTCCGTTAAATTGTTAAAACACGCGTTACTTTCTTCGTTCTAAATGTTCATGTAAGTATTTGAAATGCCAGAGTTCGTTTATTGTTTATACCTTAATGTATCTGCAATAACAAGGATTTACGGCTTCTATATAGAAGACACTTTTTATCGAATTTTAATTGGGAGTATGTGACAGTGACGATAGTACAAATCTCCGAGCAATATACGTGTGGATATCGATTTTAAACTGTTGCCCAAAGGGGTGAAATAATATGACTTTTGTTCTCTGAATGACGTTTTTCTCCTTCTTCAAACATATGCACGTGTCAATTCGATACTATTACACAGTACATGGATGTCGTTTTGTCCACGGCTGAGTGAGACAAATTACGTGTAGTGCAGCCTATTATTACCTTGTCTTCTTTCAGTCAGCTAAGTACCTACGTAAGACGATTAATTTGAGACAGCGTAGTAGGAAATGAGCCTATAAAACATATTATTGACAATTACATAACGAATCCTTCAAAACATGCATCAGGTTGGTAAGTCAATTCAACTCGTTTCGTCACGGGAAGAGAACAAAATCCGTGCCATATTAAGTTAAACGAGTTGTCATTACTGAAGAAGTCTGAATACGACTGCTCACTTTATTCTGTAACTCGCAGGGGCAAGGCGACGGGAAAAAAACGGGTTTCAATTGAACCAATAGCAAAAATATCATGATCAGTGTAACTAGATAAAGTATATCCTGATGGATGACCCGTCATGCATTGCAATCACGATTGGCATATCCCTAAAATAATTATATAATGCTTTAGATGGAATCTTATAAAAACCGGATATTAGCATACCGTCTATCCGGATATGCAAGTAACAAATGAATAAAAAAAATATAAATGAATTCCGGGTGCTTGTTTGCCACAGTTATACATGTATTTAAATTGTCAATATTTAAACAATTACTGATACATACACAAGTATTAACAGAATTTTACCTGGTCCAGAATTTTACCAGATCTGTTTTAGCACAAGCAGCAGTTTATCATATTTCCCGCGCCACGTGCGTTTTTTCAATTAATTTCAATTCTAGCTAATCACATATTAGATTGCTGATGTAATTAATAACATGTGTAACATCTTTTCTAACTTATGAACCCTGAAATGTGTGCCTATGCATTATATAAAGTAAAACAAACAACGATTTTCCCACATTCTGATCAATGATATTTTAACAATAATTATATTATACTAAAAATTGATTCGCCTAATGTTTATTTTAATTGATTTAAATTCAAATGATAATGTTATGGATACATTATTAGCAATTGAGGTTCTAGTGTATGGAACATTCATTTCCTAGCTGATGAGGGCCGCGATGATAAAATAAATTGTATATATTATGTCACCATGTGAACAAGTGCACGCTGGATCAGAAAACTAATCTAACTGCCATTATTATCTTTTTCTTCTTGTAAATGTCATACTATAATAACTCCTAGGAGCCTAGAAACGTGAATCGTGTTTTTGAGGTGTTCAAATACTTGTTCCAGCTCTCCTCCCTGGATAGGCGACCTTCTTAATTATCCTATTAATTAGCCAATATTAACATAAACCTTCATAGCATTGAATACGAACTGAGAAGTGTTAATCCGACGTACGCAGGGAAGATAATTCCCTCTTGAGTTTGGATTAGTTGAACAAGTGCTGACAATTGCGCGCATCTGAACGCAGCTGTTTAAGTTCCGTTGTAACATTATAAGAAAATATAGCCCCCGCGATGACAATACTTGAATTATGATAGTATATGACTAATGGAAATCGTTTCCTTGTTATCAGGTAATACAACGACAATCAATTCGCTGGTAATATGATACTTCACGAATCATAAAATATGCTCGTTTAGCTTTGCAGGATGACTATTCATATAACATATTTATATTCTGTGCGTAATTTACTTTCATAATGTTTTTCATGTTTTGTTTTGTTTGTTTCGAGTACGCACGGAGACCGTGATATTAATGTATGTAAAAACGGTATCAATGCAGTTGTTGATTGTATAGCTCTTCATGGTTCCTGTAGTATAATGTTCAGAAACTTGAATTATTCAAATATATTGATTAATATACCATTCAATGCAAATGGCACTGACCCCAAATGATGTTTATGGTACGAACTGAGCATACATGTGTAATCAACACATAGAAAGTTGAAAGTTCACCAGAAACGCAGTTCATGATTCTTTAATGGTATACAACGATGGCCAAACAAGTGTTGCCCAGCAACCAGCAATCAATTATAATTATACTTACTAAACGAAAGTGATTACACTGAATCGAAAAATATGCTTGATGGGGTGGGATTTGACAAAAGTAGTTCCGCTAGAAAAGTACACCGTACTATTTTTTCGGTGGCAATTGCATGGAATAAAATTGTTTTTCCAATATATCATGGAATTTCAGTGTAATAATATTCTATATCTCCATACTAAGTAATAAATCTACCTTAAACCTGATTGGTTCGCGTCAGAAGAGCGACCTTTTGACATCACAGTTGACTATTGCAAAATAAGCTAATATTTCGAGATATTGTTATTTTTAAGAATACGATAAAGACTATCCGTCTTCTACAGTGTAATATTCTTTTTTGTTTCAATCCTGAAAGAAACAGGTTTTGGCCGTAATAAGGACTCCATATATATTATATCGCAATAGATTAGACAAACGGCAATCTGCGTTCATGTATGGCAATCGGTTATGCAAATGGATACGCGCTCACAAAATACGATCTCCGCGTTTGTTTCTAGCTTTTAGAAGCTGTGAAATGATTTCATGGGTCAAACAGTATATCAAATGTAAGACTCTACAATACCAGATTTATTAAACAAAAAATTAAATTTCCGAGCATTTGGCGAGCAACAAATGAAAACTACTACTACTACTAATTTTGAGATATTCTTTATATATGTGTTCGCAAACTAAAATCATTTCAACGTTTGTCTACTCATTTCAATTTGTGTTAAAACTAGGATGAGTGCGAAATATAGCAATATGATATCAGATAACATGATCGGTTCGATACTATAATATTAGTTATGAATTGTTATACAACTATGATTATTTGTGTAACGACCCGTAAAACAGCGACAGAGTTCAAAAGTCAGATACGCTGATAGATGTAATCTGCACTCATATAGAGACGTCCAATTGTGCATTCATTCTCCTCGACGTGATACATTAACTCAGCTGATTTTCAGTGACAAATAAATGGTATTTCCAGGCTTGCATGGCATTTTAATTGATGTAAAATTTCAGATAGTGTTGTGTTTTATGTTTAAACACTGACTTTTCTCTATAGAAACGTTTGATGTAAAAATGAGAGTCACGGTATCACGTGTTACTACTTGCTTATATGCACATTGTTTCTCAATCTGTTGGGAAATCTCAACACTTACATTACTAGAGTACATTACTAGAATATTCTAGTTTAATTTAAATCTTAACATATCAATTTCTAAAGTCATTGTATCTGGATAGTGACAAGTAACATATAACCACACACAAATATAATGTCATTTTTAAAAACAATATATGTAAAAAAAATTGAAGTGATATTGTGTATTTTTCTAATGATCTTTGTTATTATTACATTCTAGGTGACGGAGAACTCAACGATTTTGAATTCTTTTCGAAGATGGCAAAAATACGGTATGCTGCTCAGCGCACAGTGTAATTGGGAAAAAACTTGACAATGACTGTAATGGACGGGATTCAATGCAGGCTTCAAACCATCCCCCCTCTTACAGGTGAACAGTGCCCAACAGAAATGGTTTGAACAATATTACATGTACATATTACTCATTTTTATATGTATATATATATATCCAACACAAGTGCACTAATTGCGTGGAAGTGCAAATTAGTTCATTAACGTACTAAAAATCGGGTAAGGTGTACCACAATTGGCTTATTTTTAGATCAGCCTGTGAAGTAATATACAACGTACACTAGGTGGTGTAAAAATAATGACAAACTCTCAAACTCCAATGTCAGTACAGGAAAACAGGGGCCTGGGAAGCTGCACCTTCACCGAAGATTGGTATATTTTTTGACAATAATTACGCAACCCATTTGATATGCGAGTAGACACTTGCATGATACATTGTAATAACCCCACACTTCACGTCTCAATAATATTTACCTCGTTAAAACCAACACAGTGCATGATGGAATATTATTACATATTCGGTATTATAATAGGCAGACAAACTTTTGTTTCTTCATTTGTATTGTTCAGATGTTTGTTTTTTATCCAAGTGTACAATTGGGTTACAGGTGGCGTCATGTGTTCCCACGTTTGCTTGATCATTTGTACAACCTCCTAAAAACCGTGCCCAAATTATAGTAAATCACTATTTCGCGTCAATAACAGAAGATATAACATGTCGTGAATTATTAGGCCGTAAAAAGTCTTCAATTGACGTTGACGGTGTTTTAATGCCCTGTTTATTAGAGTTAGCATAATGATGCACCTACCGACCTGGTCGTATACGTGGAAACACCGCTCATTAACGCAGCTATTAGTCATTTAATGCATGTTACTAATAGCTTGATATGTGCTGGATGCAATAGTTCACTGGCCTCACTTTATTAAGTATTTAACATTAGATTAAAATAAGGATAAAATGAAACACATGTTTGTTTTTTACCATTTGATCGCAGTTTATTGTAAATATTTCACTACACTAGTCTTTCACGTGTTACAGTGTTATTAGAAACTTCACTTTTCACAGCTGTCAATGTTCAAGCCATGTATATGGCGATATGCCAATCCTCTTTTTATAACAACTTCATATACCGTAATGTACACTCTATCACTAATGATATTTATGATGTTTTCCATTATCCGTGGCATTTGCAATTTTTTTTTCACACAAGAAGTAATTTAAATGATGACACTGACGAATGACAGTCATGTCAATGAAGGGTGCGCTCAGACCTTGATTTAGACCATAAACCATGTCGAGATGTTAAACAGGTAATTTATGTAGCTTAGAATCTGGAGAGTATTGAGCAAGGATTATTTCACGACATGGTGAACCTGTAAAATCAAATATACCCCCATATTTATGAATAAATATATATTGCATTCGGAAGTTTTGAAAGAATTGATTCTGTGTGTGTGCTTTTCTGTTGTCCAACACGATGGACGACTATTTGTGCTGCCTGTCCCACGCTCACGATAGAACATAGGCAGTGAAATTGACTTGTTTCCTTATACAAGTAAAAGGAAAATAAATGAATTAATATCTTCGACGTTCCTGAATCGCGCTTCGGTACTCGATCTAAAGGCATTGTCCCTTCGTTTACCTTATTATGGAACCCAATCAAAGAAATGGCAAGAAATAAAGCTAGTAGGAATTCGCAACCTGCGGCTGAATATTGACCTTTTACGCTTAAAACATACTAAACATTCTAATATGCCGGTTGCTTGTTGTCGATTTAATTAGGTTCAACGATTTTCCTAAAGCACAGGCTTTTACGGCACCCATATAAGATGTGCACGCTAATGAAAATTGATAGGGATAGACTCGCTAATCCGCCGTTAATACAGGAAACAAGACTCGCAACGAGGAATGGGTCCATTCGCCTATTTATTAAACTAATCTCACGAAACGTCATATATGGAGCACTGACTATTGTTTCTATAATCAGCTTGGTGAAGCATTGCACGCGCTTTGTATGCCGAATACATGTTTGGGTAACATTACGTGAATTGTTATTCGTCCACTAACAGATGTGGCCACTTTGTGACTTTGTGTGATAGTTCGTAATATAACGGTTCAGGGGACTATGTAGATACAAATTATGTTGTTATTATTGTTTTAATTATGTTTTTTATGTTTATTTGTTTATTTACTGAGAAATAAATAAATAGCTGGAAAAAAATAATATTATTAATTCAATAACAGAAAACATCACAACTCCGATGAGCCGTTGATATTAACCAACATAAAGGCACAATTTAATCGAATGGGAGCTGTTTCGTTGTCTCTCCCAGACTTAAAGAGCTTAGTAAACTTGCGAGATGCGAGCAAAATGATAACAACTTTCACATATTTTTTTTTTTAATGGGATATTGGCAATTCGCTTTGTCCCGTATGCGTGTGTACTTGCGTTATTTGGATAGAATCAAAGACCGTGGTGTAAACAGTTCAAAGTGACTTAACACGATACCAAATAACGAAGTGATGTCATTAGAATTCAACTTAATTGAGGAGTGATGCCTGAGGTGGCGACAATCAACAAATTCAAAACTAATTTGTCTTACTAATTGGAGGGGGTATCGTGTTTAAATTGATTTGTTTACCGGCCACTATGACAAGAGAAAATGTTTTCTGTTGATTCGGATATAGTATATATTAGAGTACTATGATATGACGTATTTCCTCGTGAAATGAACAAACCGTCATTACATACATTTTGCGATGGGATGAGTGTTCTAATATCCACAGCGTGTATTTTATTCCCTCTCCGCCCGTCATTGATTTCTTTTCTTTTGAATTGACCACAAAGACATCACAAGATCGAAAACATTCCATTGATACAACAGTAATTGCGACCTAGTATAGGACACTAATACGCCATGATTGTGGACAGTAATGACGACCTAATACATGGCACTAATATGCCATGATTGTGGACAGTAATGACGACCTACTACATGGCCCTAATACGCCATGATTGTGGACTGTAATGACGACCTAATACTTGACACTAATACGCCATGATTGGGGACAGTAATGACGACCTAATACTTGACACTAATACGCCATGATTGTGGACAGTAATGACGACCTAATACTTGACACTAATACGCCATGGGTGTGGACAGTAATGGCGACCTAATACTTAACACCAATACGCCATGGTTGTGGACAGTAATGACGACCTAATACATGGCAGTAATACGCCATGATTGTGGACAGTAATGACGACCTAATACATGACACTAATACGCCATGATTGTGGACAGTAATGACGACCTAATACATGACACTAATACGCCATGATTGTGGACAGTAATGACGACCTAATACTTGACACTAATACGCCATGGTTGTGGACAGTAATGGCGGCCTACTACATGGCACTATTACGCCATGATTGTGGACAGTAATGACGACATAATACTTGACACTAATACGCCATGGGTGTGGACAGTAATGACGACCTACTACATGATACTAATACGCCATGATTGTGGACAGTAATGACGACCTACTACATGACACTAATACGCCATGATTGTGGACAGTAATGACGACCTAATACATGACACTAATACGCCATGGTTGTGGACAGTAATGACGACCTAATACTTGACACTAATACGCTATGGGTGTGGACAGTAATGGCGGCCTACTACATGGCACTATTACGCCATGATTGTGGACAGTCATGACGACCTAATACTTGACACTAATACGCCATGGGTGTGGACAGTAATAACGACCTAATACTTGACACTAATACGCCATGGGTGTGGACAGTAATGACGACCTAATACATGGCACTATTACGCCATGGTTGTGGACAGTAATGACGACCTAAAACATGGCACTAATACGCCATGATTGTGGACAGTAATGACGACCTAATACATGGCACTAATACGCCATGGTTGTGGACAGTAATGACGACCTAATACA